ATCCAGCCCCCAAAATGAACTGGGCTCACCTGTCATCCTCAGGCCCCACCCTGCTGGCTTTCTGCATCATCTTCCTTTTCAAGTGGTTCTCTTTCAGCAAGCTGGTTCCCCTGGGAAAGATCCCTTCCATTAAGTCCATGGTTGTCTTCATTTTGGCATCGGGATCTAGGATATCAGCTAGTGACTTATCCCTTTGGACAATCTCCTTGGCCAGAGCTTCTGACTTAATCTCCTCTGGGGTCTTCTTCTTCTTCGCTTGAATGGCTGCGCCCTGAGACCCGGGACTGAGGCCACCATCTTCCGTATCCCTCCCCTGGACGTCTGGCTCTTTCAAGCTGCCACCGAGTCGTGCTAGAGTCTGTTTTTCAGATTGAGGGGGCTCCCCTGGAGCAGCAGGCGAGTGGTGCAGGGCATCCAAGGAGGTGGGAGAGCTAGTCTGCTTTGACTCAGTGCTCCCGACAGATAGGGAAGTGCCCAAGTGGCTGTCCCTACTGATGGACCTCAACTCTGACTTCTCCCTGGCAGCCAGACTCTTGGGAAACCTGCCGAAGCTGCTGTGGACAGAAAAATTCTACGATAAACATGGGGTGAAGGGGGCACTTTTGGAGAGGGGACTAGTACTAAGCACAAACGAGAGAGATGTAGTAAATCACATTTCCCTTTCCACTACACTCTTTTGACTATCTAGACTGTCAGTCCTTTGAGGCAGGAATTGTCTCTCTTGCTAAGTATTTGTGCCTAGAAAAACCCACTCGAGGAAGCTAGTGGCGCCAGAAGTAAATGATCCCCATGACTCCAAACACGGTTGCTTCTTTATTCTAATAAAGATCAAAGGAATCTTCTTGTGCCGGATGGGGCAACTCTTGTGTTCACTCTCAGAACACGTCACAAGCTGACCCTTTCTAAAACAACAGCCGCCCTTCCCAGAAGCGTTCGGGGGTCAGACTCGTCAGTGCCACAACCGAGTCAATCGGCTTTCCGTTCCCAAGCTGGGAAGGAGAATCACCCGGACAGTGCAAATCCCAGCTGTCCTTTACACACTGAGACCAAAGGCTCCTTAACAACTTGCTGCCACGGCCCAGGTAACAGAGCCTGACTGGGCTGGGGTAACTTGGGGTAGCTCCCCGGAAATCAATCAGGTTGCTCTGATTTACTCCCGTGGCGGGCCTGCTTTACGAGTTATTCCCATGGGATAAGAATGGCCAGACTGGGTCAGACCAAAGGTCCATTCAGCTCAGTGTCCTGTCTGCCGACAGTGGCCAATACCAGGTGTACCAGAGGGAGGGATCACAACAGGGAATCCACACGTGATCCCTCCCCTGTCGCCCATTCCCAGGCTCTGACACACAGAGGCCAGGGACACCATTCTGACCCGTCTCTGTGCGTGTGGGAGCCGCGATAATTTTGCGCAACCACCTCCTGACTCCCAGTCGCCATGTTGTGACAGGGTCATGACGCACACTCTAGTCTGGGGCACTCTGATCCCGCACGCCCACGTTTCATGTGGGATCACTCCCCTCAAGACCTAGGATGACCGCCAGGCTGATGCTCCTCTCACGCAGCAGGAAATAAGGCGTCGCGTCAACGCTGCCACAGAGAGGAGAATCAGACCCAGGAGAGTCTCAGAGTTACATGCCCCAGTGAATGCGGTGGGTTTATGAGACCTCTGCAGCTGCATAGGACCCTCTTGTCCAGCCCCCTGCAGTAACAAGCCTGCCAACTTTGGGCGCGCAATAAAAGACACACGGCACAGCCACGGCTGGCCCGGCTCAGGCTCACAGGTCCCAGGCCAGAGGCGGGCTACACACAGCAATGTAAATGGTCAGATTTGGGCAGGAGCCTGGGCGGAGGAGGAGGAGGGTGGGATTCAACACCCCCAGATCCAGACTGAGTCCGAGTTGTGACATTGCTATTTTTAGCCCTGCAGCCCAAGCCCCGCCGTAGTAGACCTGGGCTCTAAGACTCGGTGCTGCAGGGGTTTTATTGCCGTGTAGGTCTTGGAAGCTATTGATCTCCTTCTTCCTTAGGGGCGCTGATCCTCCCCTGTCCACCCACAGAGCCAGATTAGCAAGCCCTGGGGACAGACACTTTCTCCAGCTTCCCTTGCTGTGTGCACACTCCCTAGCAGCCTGTCCACTCAGCTGGCGGCTGCGAATGGGTCCTCTGGGTAGGCAGTACTGTGTCAGTCACAGAGGGACTGGGCCTGGCATATCCGACTCCTTCTGGCCCTACAAAGACCAAGGCTGGCCCTACAAAGACACCATGGCATTACAGCTCTCCCTTACCTTGTTTTGGCCTCTTCTGTAAGCCTGGTGGATTTGTCTCCTGTTGCCCCACCTGCCTCACAGGCAGCCAAGGGAGGAGGCGATGGAAACTCCTCTGCGTCGCTGGAGAACGTGTTGGAGCTCAGCTCAGGAAGAGGCGGAGGTGGCGGGGGGGAGAGTTTCAATGCAGCCCCTGCAGCACCGGGCTGTGAGTCCTTGATAAACACCTCGTCGTCGCCGAACTCCGGCAGGCCCGGTGGGGGACTTAGCTGAAGGCCAGACTCGGAGATCCGCAGAGAGACCTTCCCATAGGGAGGCGGAGTCTCTGAGTCGGAGGAAGTGCTGCTTTGGGTCGGCAGGCTCTGCCCCCGCTGAAAGAGCTTCTGCCCGGACACCTGAGAAGACGCCAGGCCTTTTGGGAAGCTGTCATCATTGACCGAATGAGCCCATTTCACTTTTGGCGGGGGGCGTTTCTGAGGCAGCACGGCCCTTCTCTGCATCGCTTCTTCGGCCGCGTCCTCAGGGGAGCTGTCATCGCGGTACGGAGACCGGGCCTGACTGTTGTTATTGCCGTCATGGGGCACGGCGTCTAGTTTGGCGCGCTGCCCCATTGCCAGGCCGTGCCGAGCCGCCAGCAGGTCTGAGGAAGACTGAGTGAGATGAGCAGCCCTGGAGAAGGACTGGGCAGATCCAGAAGAAATAAGGTTGAGGAGCACAGGTCTGGTGCCCTGCTTAGGGTCAGAAGAATGATTCTTCAAGTCTGTTGGCGATGACACACACCTCTGAGTCCTGCTGATGTGCCCGGGAGGTTCTGAGGCCTGATGGCTCTCATTCAGAGTGGAGGCGCTTGTGAGGTCATTACGAGGAGGATGGGGATAATAATTTGGGATTGTTGGCCTTTCTGGGTGGCTTCTTTTCGTATGGAGGAAGGACCTAAGACAAGATAAACTATGATAAATCCAACATTTTCATTCAGGGAACCAATACAGCTGCCCCTTTAAAAAGCAAAGAATTATTAGAGTATTAGTTTAGATCTTAATATCAGAGGCTGCTGCCAATGTCTGTCTCTAGTTAAAGCTGATTTCAGTGGGATTGCACCAGTGAAATCAGCAGTTAATTCTGTGCATAGGCACACAGGTATTATGGTGATGGGCTGGGTACCACCTAGAGAGATAAAAATTACAACTAATCAATAGTGTATTTTTCCCCCAAGACTGATGTGTAGCAGGGCAAAAAATCTGATTGAGGAGAAATGTATTTCTGTGGCACGGGATTCATGAAGTTTGATCTGGCCTCCAGAAAACAGCATGAATTGTTGCAATATAGATAACAATTCAGGAACTAAGCAATACAGCAATTGATATGGGGAAAACCTAGGTCCAATGGTTTCAGTTAGCATCTTGATTTATTATTGGAACTGCAGGGAGTGAGTCGTATAATCAAGGTTGCTCAACACTTCTTATTATAACGTCCTGTTTTCAGTTGCTTATAATTTTGCCAAACTTAAACCGTGGGCTGAAATTTCCGAAGCTGGGTGTCTGTTTTAGGCTGGTTTTTTGGCATGTGCATGAAAGTTTCAGCTAAAATGGTTCAGTTGCCTCCAGGAATGAGATTAGGGAAAATGAATTGTTTTTACCCATCTTAAAACATTCTTACAACTGCAAGGTCCTCTAGAAAAATATCATCTTATGTACTATTAATATAATGGTGATTAGACTTATCATAATGTGTACACATTAGAGAAAGGCCCAATTACGGTTGCACAACTTAATTCTGACATTTCCTAACTTTTGAATGCTCAGCTTTACCACATGACCATTCTTTTCATGTAGGTTTTTCTTTTTGTTTTTGACATAGGGCCAAATGAGTTCTACGCACTTTGTAGACAAATACAAAGAGAGGTACTATGCCCCAATGAACTCCCAATCTGAATGGACAACAGACTAAATTGTTTCCACTACTTTTAAGAAGGCTCTCAGATAAATCAGAGCTACAGCAGTTGTCTTGAAAGTGAAAGACCCTCTTAGAACATCACATAAAATCCACAAGCCTGAGCAGTTGGAAAACAAAATTAATTATAACAATTAATACAAGCAAGATATTCCAAGCACGCATTAGGCTGTAGAAAAAAAGTCCTGCAGTATTGCGATTATATCCGATAACAACAATTAATACAAGCAAAATATTCCAAGCACGCATTAGGCTGTAGTAAAAAAGTCCTGCAGTATTGCGATTATATCCTATATCTTTAAAGGCTGCAGCATTGAAATGATCTGCTTTATGTGCTGTATGAGATTTGAGGCCAAAAGGTGCATTCAGTTATGTGGGGGTACACCAGAAATAACTCCATCAAAGCTGGGGGGTTACTCTGCATTTACACTGGTGTAACTTAGGGTATGTCTAGACTACACCTCTTGGTCAACAGAGAAATGTAGATTAGGCATGTTGAAATTGCTAATGAAGCAGGGATTTAAATATCCTGTGCTTTATTAGCATAAACATGACCACCGCTTTTTTTCGAAATGGAGCTTTTTCGGGAATCCCCCCCCGCCCGGCAGTTTAGATGCGGATCTGTCGAACCCCCCCGGCAGTTTAGACGCGGATCTGTCGAAAAATAAACCCTTTTTTGACAGATCCTGTAAACCTCATTTTTTGAGGAATACAGGATCTGTCGGAAAAGCTCTATTTTGGAAAAAGTGGCGGCCATGTTTATGCTAATGAAGCACGGGATATTTAAATCCCTGCTTCATTAGCAATTTCGACGTGCCTAATCTACATCTCTCTGTTGACAGAGAGGTGTAGTCTTAGACACAGCCTTAGAGCAGAATTTGGCAGTTTCTAGCCCCCAGGGAGAGGGGTCAAAACTTCCCAGCCCAGCCACTGTTAGGACAGTCTGTGGTTCTCGGATAGTAGTAATGTGTGATTTTTGAGCTGCTCAGTGTTGTCAGGAGAACTGGATGGTAGATCTGCAATTGCCTGTCACACTTCGGTGGCATTTTCTGATCCTCAGACTGGTAGAGTCACCTCGGTTACACCTACTGCACTAACAACAAAGATGTTGGAAGGCATTTTGGAGGTTGGTCAGGGACAACACAGCATATGGCAAAGAATACAAGTCAAGAGACCACATTAGTCCAATGAGGTCTTGTTTGACTGCCCGTTTAAAGGACTAACCCTGCTCTAACAAAAATCTTTGGGAAGAAATAGGGCTGGATTCTGGTCACAGCTCTGGCACTTTACAAAGCAACAGCCACAGTAGAATTCCACCAGCACTGGAGCTGCATAAGTCTGGCATATAAGACCCTTTATTGCTCCCTTCACGGTCTTTGGCATAAGGAATGCACTAGTGACAGAGCTGAGAGAGGCTGTACTGCTCAGAGCTTTAGCTATTCTGGGGCCACTGGTAGCCACAGAGAGGCAGTCATATGGTAGCAAAGCCCTGGGGGCTGTTCTAACTTACACTATTCCTTGGCAGGCACAAAGATGACTGAAAGCCAACTTTGCTCCCATCTCTCTAACTTACACTGTTCCTTGGCAGGCATAATCCGAGCGGCACAAAGGTGACTGAAAGCCAACTTTGCTCCCATCTCAGGCTGCCCTCTCAGGAGAAATATTGCATAATATCGCACTTTTATGTGCATGAACTGTTCTACACAGGCCAGGCTGTGACCCCTTCCTCACTGTCTCAGTTCCTGGCACAAGTCGTCCTTTTGACTTCAAGGGGCTCCTCATGCAAATTCACTGATGTGAGTAAGGAGATCTCAATCTGGCCTAACTGGGACTTTTAAACCTGGAAAGGGTCCAGTCTTGTTACCACAGAAGTCAAAGGCTAAACTCCCACTCATTTTAGTGGTGCAGAGTCATGCCCCAAATATGTGCGTTCTGATATTAACACTCACAGCTGACATTGCTTGTGTCTGGGTTAAAAACATCAGCGAGGGTGACCAGAGGACCCAATATGATCTGGACAGCCCTGATATTAGGACTTTGCCCTACATATGCGGTTAAGTCCTTTTGCCACACTCTGTTTTTCACATTTACTATTTGGTCCACCTACGTGTCACAGTTGGGTTGGTGAGACAAAACCATCCACAGAGGGCCCTTTATGAAATTGCTAAGCAACAAATGAGCAAAAAGAAGAGTCCTCCCCTGAGCAGCGATCTAGCTGTATTTTTTTTTCAAGCACGTGTCATTTCCAGACTCAATGAAGTTTCAGGGGTATATTTGGTTCCTGCCTTCCACATTTCAGCTATCCAAAGAATCCAGAACATTCAGAGCAAGGCACTTGACATTCCATTGGAAAATGTGCTAAGAGAACACACAAGTTGCGGAAGCAGTAGAAATATCACAAAGATGTGAAGATAGGAATAATAATTCAGAAATGTGGCTCTTGGCAGGAAAGTACATAACATAATAACCTATTTCCTGCCCTCTTGGCTCTCTTTCAGGCCTGGTGTTAAATCTAGTTACTTAGAAAGAGAAGGAAGCAATGGGAGTTATAACATAGTGAAGTATTAAGAAATACTGATGGTAAATAAAATGAGGAGGGCAGGAAGGGTTTAAGAATAAGAGCCAGATGTATCATACTCTAAATAGCACTGCAAACACTGTTCAAATCCGGCAGGAAATGGCACACTTTCAAATATTCAAAAATGGTGGTAACTTAGGGCAAAATGACCTTCCATGGTTTACTCTGCAAATTTCTTAGGCCAGGTCTATACTAAATGGGAAGGTCAAATCAAGATACCTAATTCCAACTTTGTTAATTACATAGGTGAAGTCTACACATCTTGTTTTGAGTTTCTCCACAGTCCACATAGCGAGAGGCCGACAGGAGCAAACATTCCCATCAGCTTCCCTTACTCCTTTCAGAAGTATCAGCTGCCAACAGGGGTGTCCTCTGAGTTCAATTTAGCGGGTCTTAACTAGACCCGCTAAATTGAACTCCAGAAAATTGATTGTAGCAGCGTCGATCTTCCGGTTAGTGAAGATATGGCCTTAGTAGTAGCATAGGAGTTGCAAGACTGGCTTAGAACCATCAAGTCCAATATCCTGTGTTTGACTTGCCTTGTTTTGTCCACCTGGGTGGCATTTCCAGGACTCATTGCATTATTGCCCCGATGCTGTTGTTTGGGCGACTGCTACAGATGTGATTCCCAACATGACCGAAAGGTGGAAACTAGAACTAGAATTCCTGAATAATTATGTTAATGCCAACTTGTGTTTTGTTGCGATAGTATGTGCTTATGTACCTAGAGCTTTGTTTGAGTCTTTTTAATATTTAAATTGAAACAAATACATAAAACAGATCAACTTGAAACCAGATCAACATCTCATCTGAGGAAATGGGTTTTGCCCACAAAAGCTCATGATACTATTTTTTTTTGTTAGTCTCTAAGGGTACATCTACACTGCACGCTTATTTCAAAATAGCACACCTACACGGCAGGGAAGCCTCATAATTAGTCAGAGGCAGGCTCCCCTAATGTGGATGTGCTTCCTCAATTTAGAGGCACTGGGGAGTAATTAGTTTGAATGCCCCTGGGGAGGAACTATTTCAAAATAGCAGTAGTGGAGCATCCATACTGTAGCTATTTTGAAATACCTATTCCAGAAGGGTGATAGAAATGTAGCCGTGTTAGTCTGGGGTAGCTGAAGCAAAATGCAGGACAATGTAGCACTTTAAAGACTAACAAGATGGTTTATTAGATGATGAGCTTTCGTGGGCCAGACCCACTTCCTCAGATCAATTCCAGAAGAGGCGCTATTCCTTGTGGAATTAGATTTACAGAAGTCGGAATAAGCCGTCCGTTATTTTGAATTTATTTTGAAATAATGGAATTGCTGTGTAGACGCTCACATTGTTATTTCAGAATAATGGCCGTTATTCCGAAATAATGCTGCTGTGCAGACGCGCCCCAACGTGCCACCGCAGTACTTGTTTTTATAGTTACAGGCTAACACGGCTACCCCACTGAGACTTTTAATCAAGGAGTGTGTTACTTAGAAGTGTCAGGTAATATCTATGCTGCTGCACCCCCTTCCAATTTTGTAGGGTTTACAATCACTTTTAAAGGTCCCTCTCCCATTACTGAGTGAAAGACCCTGACAGGAAAACAAGGAATCTGCCTTATGGCAAAGCCCCCAATCCAGCAAAGTAACTACGCACAATGGGAATGCTCACTTGCTATGATTAGGTACTTTGCTGGATTAGGGCCGAGTAAACAGACAGGAACTTTAGGGTATTTTTTTTCCAGTTTCTCTTAGTTGCAATTGAAGAGAGACAGAAACACCCAGAAACCTAAGATGTGACATTTAACACTAGTAAGTCACTATCAGACGGAAGTGTTATTTTTAAGTTAATGAAACTTCTGCATGTTAAATGAGGGTAGAATATGCTACAGAAATAAGGAGAAGACATCTGAGAGTAGGGTTTTACCTTGAATTAATTTCTATGCTGAAAAACAAGAGCTAACTGAAGATTAGTCCGGGTACACCACACAAGACAGCCAAAATGCAGTCTCCCAGTGCATATGGTCTGTCCAGCTCCTAATATCCCATTCATTTACATAAAAAATGCATTACAATTGAATCGTTGCCAATGGCAGTGGGGTTAGCACCAGCTGAACCAGCAGCTGGAGAAGAGACACAAATATAAACCTACCTGTCGTCTGTGCCAACCATGGAAGAAGGATTAGTCACCAAGTGGCCAAATTCACTGCTTTCCCCTGTCAGCAAGTCCTGGAATGCACAAAGGAGCAGAGTTAGCAGCAAGTAAGACACGCCTGAAGTTTCAAAACAAAAGAGCACTCTGTGTGTCCTTTACAGTTGGGAAGCAAAGAGAGGGAGTGTGGTTTCAGGATCAGAGTAAAAGAAGGCCACTAGTGAATGTGCAAGGTTTCCACAAGCTAGTTAAAATGGATTCACCCCAGCTAACACTGAGGCCTGCTGGGCAGCATTTCTACAACCACCTTCCCTGAGAAATACCACAGAAGAATGAGGAGGGGGGCGATGTTGCCTTCAGAGATGCCCCTGACAAAGGCTGTCGCACAGATGCTATGACTCAGCCATTCCCCTCACTTCTCCGGCCAACACTAAGCCCTTTTCTGCTGCTCCGGCCCCCAGCTGGTCCCCCGAGGAAGGGAGATTGTGGTGGTTATCTGTGGCCCGTCTCTCATGGGCCTGACTTGCTTCAGTGAAAGCCAGTGCAAGCCAGAGTGGAATATTGCTCCAAGAGCCTAAGAGCCTTCAACCACGCTGCGATTCTGAGGCCGCCATTTTCCTATCATGCCCTTCCTCTGATCAGCAGGACAGCCTGTGCAAGCCCAGCACCGATCTTGCCCCCATTACAATCAGGGGAAGTTTGGCCTCATAAGGCTTAAACGGGAACTGGATGAGGCCTCAGGCTCCCTAAGAGGAAGCTAATTGTCAGTATTGCCGCAAAATCTTCTTTCCCAGGAGACCAAGCCGACGCTTAGCCCTTCCACACCAGCGCATCCCCCAACCCAAGCATAATATGCCACGGGCAGGCTGGCTCACTGCCACCATTCCCCTGTAATGTCTCACCATCCTTTCAGAGTCTAGTTCTGATCATAAGCTCACAGTCGGGCCTTCAAACAACTCCCATTTAGACACCAAAACAACTGGCTGGATTTCAAAGGGCCTCAGCAGTTTAGCTGCTCTGCCCTTTCGAACGACGAGTCCCTTGTCTCCATGGGAGCTGCCGAGTGTCGTGCGCATTTGCAAATCCAGTGCGGGACACTGACAAATTTGGCCCTGAGCTCTTCCGGAAATCTGATTGCAGCTGCTCCCCCGGGATGTAAGTCAGTTACATGATGGTAAATGTCCAGCATCCTTTTCCAGAGCTCAGTCATTCTTCTGTCACTCGTCAGCCGAGGTTTTTAATTGAGGGGCCTCCAGTCCTGTTCCCTCCCTGGTTTTGTTTCCCCCCTTTCCATGGCTGCGGATGGAAGGGAAGTGCTGAACTTGATTTAGAAGTTGGGGAGCCGAAAGACAGGCCGGTTGAGATAAGCCAAAGGGGCCGAGAGAGAGGAAGGCAGAAATTGCGCCCTGCAGACAGATGGCGAATAACTCCCCACTGCTATCCATTTCCTCACATTTTTAAACAAATTCCTACAGCAGGGGCGGGGAACCTTTTTTTGGGTTGGGGGCCACTGACCCACAGAAAAAAAAGTGTGTGGGCGGGTGCACACAAACGGTCAGAAAAACCCCCTCAGTAATGTGGCCCTCGAATCAGAAGGAAAAAGACACTCACCACATTCCCCTCCCACAGGAGGCCCGGCCTAGTGGATTGTGTCTGCTCCAGCCCCATGGCAAGGGGTGTGTGTGTGTGTTGAGGGGGAAAAGGGGGCTGGAGCACCAGTGCAGGCTCCCCAACGCCGGGGGGCCCCTGAGCTTTGGGGGTTGGATCCAGGCAAGCCGGGGGCCACATCTGGCCCGGGCCAGAGGTTCCCCATCCCTGTCTTACAGTGACACTGTGGTGGGATTTATATTCAGCATGAAGAAAACAGCATAGACTGCAAGCAAAAGCATACAATGAGCCAGCGAAGGCTGCTTATGAAATGGGAATGACTGTTTTTCACAGAGGAGCTGAGCTGGTTAAAAAAAAAAAAAAAAAAAAAAAGATGTGTTCTCTTCTCCACAAACACTTCTACATTTTTGGTTCCATATCCCTACACATGCTTGAAGATAAACAAAGAGGCTTCACATAATGCACAGTCAACCTGTGGAACTCCTTGCCAGGGGATGTTGTGAAGACCAGGACTTTAACACTGTTCAAAAAAGAAATACATTCATGGAGGATAGGTCCATCAATGGCTATTAGCCAGGATGGGTAGGAATGGTGCCTGTAGTCTCTGTGGCTATGTCTACACAGCCGTTTTTGCGCAAAAACCCCGTGGAGCGTCCACACCTCAAGCGTGTTTTTGTGCAAGTAAATTTACAGTGAATCGACAGAACAGAAGGCTTTTTGCAGTATAGGTATTCCTCTTTCTACGAGCAATAACTCCTTTTTGCGCAAGAGCTCCCGTGCAAAAAGGTGTGTGTGGACAGGAAACGGGTTTTTTGTGCAAAAACAGCCTATCGAAAGAAGCACAGGTGCTCTGGTTGCCATTAACAGAATGGCCATCAGAGCTTTCTTGCGAGAGAGTGTCCATGCGGTCTGGACGCTCTCTTGCACAAAAGCGCGTCACTTTTGTGACGTGCTTTTGCAGTGTGGACACGCTCTTGCGCAAGATGTTTTTGCGGAAGGTCTCTTCCGCAAAAAGCTTCTTGCGCAAGAAACCTGCAGTCTAGATGTAGCCTGTTTGTTGGAAGCTGGGAATGAGACAGGGAATGGTTACTTGATAATTCCCTGTTTTGTTCATTCTCTCTGGGGTAACTGGCATTGGCCACTGTTGGAAGGCAGTACATTGGGGTTGATGGACTTCTGGTCTGACCCAGTCTGGCTCTTCTTATGTTCTTATGCTCTCCTGAATCAGGGACTAAGAGTAAACATTTCAAAAGTGCCTAATTGCTTTAGGAACCTAAGTCCTATTTTCAAAAGCCTAAAGCACTTTTAAAAAAGTAGGAGTTAGGCTCCTAAATCATTCAGGACACTTTTGAAAGTGTTGCTCTTACTACGTCCCTCATCAGTATGAATTGAAGTATATGCGTAAGTGATTTCCTGAACTGGGGTCTATTACACATCTGCATTTGTTTATCGTCTTCCTAGCACTAGTCCCGCTGTTCACACCATTTGGGACCTTTAGTGTCACTAATGCACCCATGGGAAAAAAGCACAACAAGCCAACAGGAAAAATAAAAATAAAAGGTCTCAGGATTTGTGCCCTGACACAGAGAGCAGCTCGATAAACAGGAACTGGAACAACTGGTTTCCAGATTGCCATCATAAAGTACCTTTTGGCAGCGGGGGGAAAAATCTCTTTGCTTTGTGCTTTCCCCCTCTGGAATCCTGTTTATTTTTGTTCCTGCTCTGAAATACACCATCAGACAGCATCGGCTTTGCTTTTTGGCTTTTACAACACATCTTTCTTATGGGAATGTCCTCTTGCTGAACATGAAGGCTGTGTCTACACTGGCCACTTATTCCGGAAAATCAGCCGCTTTTCTGGAATAACTTGCCAGCTGTCTACACTGGCCCTTGAATTTCCGGAAAAGCACTGACGATCTAATGTAAAATTGTCAGTGTTTTTCTGGAAAAACTATGCTGCTCCCGTTTGGGCAAAAGTCCTTTTCCGGAAAACTCTTCTGGAAAAGGGCCAGTGTAGACAGCACAGTAGTGTTTTCCGCAAAAAAACCCCGATCGCGAAAATGACGATCGGGGCTTTTTTGCGGAAAAGCGCGTCTACATTGGCACGGACGCTTTTCCGCAAAAAGTGCTTTTCCGGAGAAGCATCCTGCCAATGTAGACGCGCTTTTTCCGGAAATACTTATAACGGAAAAATGTTCCGTTTTAAGCATTTCCGGAAAAGGGTGCCAGTGTAGACGTAGCCGAAATGTTTCACAATTGACAATGGTTGTCATAAGGTTATGTAGATGGGCCTGTTGTCCCTTCTAGCCATTCGATATTTAGGTGATGGTTTTAATGCTCTCTGTTGAAAAAGTAGTGCAAGGACTGAGGCTATGTCTAGACTACAGGCTTTTCAGAACAAGCTTTTTTCAGAAGAGATCTTCTGAAAAAACTTCTTCCGAAAGAGAGCATCCACACTGCAAAAGTGCATCGAAAAAGCGATATGCATTTTCAAAAGAGAGCATCCAGACTGAATGGATGCTCTCTCGCTTGTAGGTTGTGATTACTATGGACAGACTGGCCACCAGGGCACCTGTCTGCTTTTTCCTCTTTCCTCTTCTATTGAAAGAACTCAGTCTTCCCCATCCACACACGCCTTTTTCCGAAAGAGCTCTTTTGCAAAAAGGCTTCTTCCTCGTAGAATAAGGATTATCAATGCCGGAAAACCCCCTCTGTTCTTTCAATTTTCTTGTGGAAGAATGCGATTACAGTGTGGACGTTCCTCAAGTTTTGTCGGAAAAACGGCTGTTTTTCTGACAAAACTCTGTAGTGTGGCTATACCCTGAGGCATTTCGAGATGGGAGATTTCAGATAGACTGTAGGGTAGGGTTAGAAAGGACAGACTCCCACTCCTGGTGCATTTCAAAGCACTCCACTTGCTAGCTTCAATCCTCATTCGGATTCATTCTGTTATATACTACAGTATCACAACTGGGTATTTTGACAGCACTGGCAGTTCCAGATCTAGATTTGATGCTCCTGTTTTAAAACTTGGGCTTACGCAGACAGCTAGGAAACATTTTTAGAAAGAATTCTGCCTCTAGAACTTCCGTGTTGTGTTTTTGCTCCAGCTCTCTCTCTTTCCACTATAGGACCCTATATGGAAACTAGTGGGATGAATCAGCCCAGCTCCTCTGATCTTGGTGATGTCAATAGAGCTAAATTGATTTACACCAGCTGAGTAGCTGACCCGGGATCTTGCTTTCTTCTCCCTTGTTTTATTTGCTGCCACTCAAGTCCGTCAGCCTCCCGCGGCATTTGTGACGTCATCATCATTTTCACAACAACCGGCTGGGAGAAGAGAATATTGGTCCGGATTCTCCTTTGCAACTGGATTGTAGGGGGATCTTCCAGAGGTGAAAAGTCAATTTAACAGCTCCTAAAGCATACCCCTCTCTCCCTGCAGGCAGCTGTCAACCATTCCAGACCACAGTCCTTCCTAGAGTCTGATTTGCCATGTGTATCCCCCAGACTCATTTCACTTAACACTTACACAATCAGACATACAAATCCCAAAGCACCACAGCATACTACGACTGAAAAATTCCTTACTTTCTTGTTGTTAACCCCATAACTGTAAAATATATCAATCAGAATATAAACATTGTACTTGCATTTCCATGTGTTGCCAACAGAGCAGTGTAAACAAATGACCGCCTGTGAAATTTTAGTTTGCACTGGCCTCGTTTGTGCTTTGTCTGGAGACTGTTGCAATTCCAGGCAAAGATCTAGCTGAGTTGATCTGGAAGACCCATGAGGACCCCCAGGCACATCTCAGGTTGAGAAGCACTAGAAAGGGGTACAGGGTAGGGATTCCCCGCACCCATGCTGTTGCAATAGCTTTTTGGGGTCACTGGAGCCCCTGCACCTTTTTAGAGCTGTGCTCTGCGCGTCTGAGCTAGAGTTAATCCTCTAGACGGAGGATTTCAGACAAGGAGTAAACAGCAGGAGCACATGTGCTCTTAAAAACAGGACACAGACGCCCTTCCCCCAAGCACATACCCCTAGGCTGTGTCTATATTGGCTTCCCTTTCCGGAAAAGGGATGCTAATGAGACACATCGCAATTGCAAATCCGCAGGGGATTTAAATATCCCCCGCGGCATTTGCATTTACATGGCTGCCGCTTTTTTCCGGCTTGGGGATAATGATTCTCCGGAAAAGAAGCCCTTTTCCGGAGGATCTCTTACTTGAAAGTAGGAATAAGAGATCCTCTGGAAAAGGGCTTATTTTCTGGAGAATCACGTCTACACTGGCGCTTTTCTCCGGATTATCCCCAAGATGGAAAAAAGCAGCAGCCATGTAAATGCAAATGCCACGGGGGGTATTTAAATCCTCCGCGGATTTGCAATTGCGATGTGTCTCATTAGCATCCCTTTTCTGGAAAGGGGTGCCAATGTAGACACAGCCCTAGTGTTAAGAGAGCAGGAGGAAGAGCAATACAGAAGGGCTGTGCTATGCTGCTGGCAGGCACGTCAAAGTGCACCAGGCAACTTCAAACAGAGCACACGGTCCATATCCCACGGCACATTTAACCTGAGTGCCAAGCTAGCATCATAACCTCCCTCTCCCTCAGCCCATGGAGCCTTCTGCCTCTGAACAGCAACCCAACAACGTTCATACCTGGTGTTTCTTGTCGGCTGTCGGAGAGGACCTGGAGCGCACGTGCACCGGGACTGACTGGTGGTCAGATCGATCAAGCAAGTCTTCAGCAGACACCGATTTCCCAGATTTCCCAGGTAACGAGGGGTTTTCGAAGGCCCGTTCCTCCATCCTGTAGAGGACTTGGCCACGCGAGCCACGCTGACCAGCCTGAGAGCTTCTCAGGGGCTCCAGTTTGGCTCGGTAATCTCGGCGTTTGTCTGTGTGAAAGTGGCTTGCAAAGGAATTGCTGCTGATGCCTTCCTGGTGCCCTTTCTTTGGCTCAAACCCGTTGAGATCAAAGCAGCCCGTGAGCCCGGGAGGGAGGGTGGAGGAGACCCGGCCTGTTCTAGAGACCTGCTCTAGTGACTCTCTCCGGCGGTAATGCTTCTGATCCTGGAGCGAATTCATGCTGGAGGCGGAGGAGAGGCTCTGGCTATCCAGGCCACTGGCTTGCAGGCAGGAGCTTTGGGAGGGCTCTCTCAGGACCCCAGCATCTTGAGAAGGCCGCTTCCCCGTTTTGCGTTCGATGTAGTCCGCGAGCGCGTTCTGCTGCAGCTGCTTCAGCTCCGGCTTGGACAGGTTGATGGTAGAGCGAGCTTTGCTCTCCTGCTCAAAGATCTTGCGCCGGTCGGCCACTGTGTTCTCCGGGAAGATGAAATGAAGGCCTTTCTTTTGTGGGGAGACGGACGAGGGCTCGTGGTCTGAGATGCCCACTTGGTTTATTTTCTCTGGCTCGGAGTAGGACCTTTTCTTCTGCTCCGCCGTCAGCCTCCTCCTGCCTCCGATGCGGGACACGTGCTGTAGCCCCGCGGGGCTCTCCTGCTCCATGCAGTCCAAGGTCGGGAGGTTGGTCTGCGTAGGAGTGATGCTGTGCCTCTCCTTGGGGACGTGAGGGGAGGTGGCAGTGCTCCTCATCCCACTGTGGGCCGAGGCTGGCCTCTGGGCACTCCTCTTGGGTTTGCTCCCAAAGGGCGGGCCGATGTCGAGGTCTTTGCGCCTGAACGACGTGGCTCTGAGGACCTTGGACTGAGCGTCTTTAATGCTGTTTCTGTAGTCCCTGCTGAAGGAGGTCTCCAGCTGTGAGCCAGGAGCACCTTGGACGTGATCCCTCCACAGGATTTCCTTCTCTGGCTCAGACATCAGCTGGAACGTGCTTCTGCTCCTTGTCAGAGCGTAGCACTCGCTCTGCTGGACCGGGCTTGCTGTGGCCACCATCTGCTGCTCCACAGGGCGCCAATCGCACTCCTCAAGCTTCGGGCTGCTGTTCCTGCTGGCCTGCTGCACGCACGGCGGCTTCTCAGAGCCCACGCCCGGGTCGCCGAGTGGCTGGCTGTGCTCCTGGGCGCTGGACTTGCTCCATACATCCTCTGTGCTGTGAAGAGAGCACCTGGCACCGGGGGGTTGGCTGGGCCGACTGGGTCCATAGTTCTGGCCAAAGCTGGGCACACTCATGCCCTGGGGCCTCTGACTGCCGTGCTCACGCTGCTCTATCTTGCTGACCTTCTCCAGCACGGAACAGTGGGGCTTGCTGGAATCCAGCTTCCTGGGCTGGAGGCTTTGGGCGCTGCCGGAGCTTAGCCTGCTCCTGCTGACATCGGAGGCCTTTGGGTGCTGCAGAGAAGGGGGCTCCTCGTACGTCGGCTCAGCACCGTGGAAAGGTGCCGTGCCGGTAGGTTCATCCTTGCGCTGGACGAGGGCCTGTCTGTCCAAATCGTTCCTCTGCTCACAGCCCTGCCCTCTTTGGTCCTTCTCTGCTTTATTACCGCGAGCCGGGAAGGACAGTTTGGCATCCGAATAGCCCTCGCACGGTTGCCTCTCCTTCAGCTCCAGGCTGTTCTGCATGGGCGAAAAGCCCAGCTGCTTGGCCCTACTGTAAGGCCCCTGATTGTGGTCTCTCTCGCTTCTTTGCAGGTTAGCATTTTTGTCCTCCTGCAACTCGGCCAGCCAGTACTCCTTGGGGTGGGAGAGAGCTTTGCTTTCACTGGCCTCCCTCCAGCAGGCCTGCGGGGGCTGGGAATTGTGGTTCAAGTGCTGGGCATTGCTCGTGCCGATGCCATGCGATGTCACCCCAAGGGAGCCTGACTTGTCCTTTTGGGAAGGGGTCGAATGGACGTCCAGGCTCAATGGGCCATGAGGTCTGTACTGAATGAATTTCGTGGCTGCTTCTGGCTTTTTCTCCGCAGCCGGTGGCCTGTGGTCTGGCCGATAGAAGACGGACAGTCTGTTTCCATTCTCGTCCATGCCGGAATGGCTGCAGGCCTGCTCACACGTGGCCGGGAGGGGTGGAGCATATCCGCTCTCTTTGGCCAGAGCTGGATAAAGCATCCCATTATTGTTTGCCAAAGAGTGGGGCACCTGGGCAAAGTGTGGCTCGGGGGAAGGTACGGGGTAGATGCCGGTAGGCAGCAAAGGCTGTCCTGGCTGGCTGGCCTGGGAATAGCTCTGCTTAGGTTTCACTTTGGGGCTGCTCTCGGGGCTCTTCTCCACCACAGTGTGCAGCTGCCCTTCCACAAACACGGGTTTCAGCAGCTGTCCCTTCCCCAGGGAGCCAGTGCCGGTGGGCGGAGGCCAGGCTCCCTTTGGCTGAGCGCGACACGGCTTATGCGGATCGAGGCTGGACCAGGAGCTGGGCCTCTCCTGCTGCCTTATTGCGGCATAGCTGTCGCTGCGCGTTGGGGGATGGGGGGCCCCCTTGGGGTGCTGACCCTCACTGTCAGAGGAGCTCCTCTTTTGCTGGCCCCAGAAGGGGACTCCGCTGTACCGGCTGTAACCAGGCAACCTGCTGTAGCTGCGGCCTTCTGTCTGCGCCCGGCCCTCCGGACGCAGCGCGGAGGAGTTCACCTCGTACTCCTCAGAGACCCTTCGCTGGGCGTCGTAGACCGTCTTGACGTACCTGATGTCGGCCTGCCTCATCTCCTCCTGCGGGCTGCCTCGGGAGTAGACGTTGTCCATGGAGAAGGAGCGCTCCTTGCAGAAGGCAGGCGCCGGGCACTCGGGGATGCTGGAGTTGGTGGAGAAGGAGCTGTAGGCGGAGTCCCTCTTGCTGTGGAGTTGGGCAAGCTGGTCGATGCTGTTGGTGGACTTGGCCGGGGAGAGGTGGCAAGGGTGATAGCCAGAGGGAGTGTGGTCCAAGGTCTCCATGCTGCCCCACGAGCTGTACTGGTCAGGGCTTCTCCTCAGATAGCCATGGTCATAGCCAGAGAGATCGCTTGTCGAGGAACTAGTGGGAGAGAGAGAAGGGAAAAATCGACTGTGAGCAAGAGAGGCGCGCGCTGGCTTATAAACAAGCTCAGAGGCAAGATGTTTAGTTTTTAGAGGAACAGACGAAAACCCATATTTGGGCCTGACTGTTCCCTGTCTGCAGTCATCTTGGTTTACTAAGAGAAATTGCTTGACATTGCACCACATGTCTCCGATTTATCACCCCGGGGCGGGAGGGAGAAGAAAGACGGAAGCCTAGCGTGAGCTATGGAGCCAGGGAAATCTGCCCCACCCATCCAACCCATGCAAAGCATTTAAACATTAAAAATAAATGCAGATGCCAGAGCGGGAAAGAGCAAGGAACAGGAGCGGCTTACTGGGGGGAGGAATTGAATCTCTTTTTTTTCCCCATTTTGTTTCTTTTTATGGAGTGGAAGGCTACACCCTGGCAGTCTTCCTGGAAACTCAAACTGTAGCAGAGAAGTTTTGTTTGCTGTGAGAAAACTAAACAGACAAGACAGAAAGGAGATGGGGGCATGTGGGTGTGGGAAGGAAACAACCGTAGTTTTCGATAACGCCCCGGGAAGTCTTTGCAGACCCACCGTGCGTGTAGCTTAGCAGGCAAGGCTGTTCCCCATTAAGAGATCCACAGAGCACTAGCTAGGTCAGATATAAGTTGGCGGAGGACTCTCTGATGTGGTCCGTGGAAGTCTGTCCAGAAAGAGGACTATTCAGGTATTGTTCTAGTTACTGGGAGGGAGGGAAGTACCGTCCAGATGTACTTACATTTCTGAAAGTGTTTGTTCACATAGAGGGGAAGGTGGGGAGGGTTTAAATTGCTGGGAGGGTCTTTCTAGACTCCCGCCCCTATTTCACTCCAGCAGGTGTTTCTGAAGAGGGATGTTTGAGGTACCACTCCCCTCCTCTCTGTCCTCAAAAGTCCTATGCCGCTCTCCCTCTGGACACAGCTCACCCGGTCGTCCTTTAGTGCTACTGTGAGTGATGGTCGGAAGGAGCTGCCTGGGAGCACTGTGAAGCGGTACCCTAATGCCCCTACACAAGGAGCTGGGAATCACTGGCAGCCTGGGCTTTGGTGTGCCGAGAAAAAACACAGGAGGCACCTGGGGCGATTAGCAGTCGCGCCTCAGCTCTGAAATAGCTGCATTTCCTGGACTGCCAGGGTCCAGCTCCTGGTCCAGGGTCACTCTGCTATAGCTCACGCAAAGCCCTTTCCTGCAGGCACTTCCAAGGAGATTGGAGGGGCTGCTGATTGAGGCTCATGGGAGTTGGGGACACCCAGTAGCTATGAAAATGAAGCTCCCCGGTCCCGTGAGGCAGATGGTGTAATGGAAAAGAGCCCCCAGACTAACGTGTCGCCACTGAAGAGCCCACGGTGGCTCGCAAAGTGTGCTCAGACTATCCTCTCTGGGCCCGGCTCCACTGAAGGAGCAAGGCTGTGAAAGGACAGCTCGAAAGAGAGATGGGTGGAGAGGCATAAGGAAAGGCAGAGAGGAGGAGGCTGCCTGCAAAGCAAAGGATAAGCCACGTGTAGGAAGGGGTGTTGATCATGACCAATCATAGAATCCTAGGGCTGGAAGAGACCTCAAGAGGGCACTGAGTCCAGCCCCCTGCCCAAGGCAGGACCAACCCAACTCAATCAACCCAGCCAGGGCTTTGTCAAGCTGACACTTAAAAACCTCTAGGGATGGAGATTCCACCCCCTCCCTAGGGAACCCAGCCCAGTGCTTCCCCACCCTCCTAGTGAAATAGTTTTTCCTAATATCCAACCTGGACCTCTCCCACCACAACTTGAGACCATTGCTCCTTGTTCTGCCACCTGTCGCCACTGAGAACAGCCTCTCTCCATCCTCTTTGGAACCTCCCTTCAGGAAGTTGAAGGCTGCTATCAAATCCCCCCTCACTCTTCGCTTCTGCAGACTAAATAAGCCCAAATCCCTCAGCCTCTCCTCATAGGTCACGTGCTCCGGCCCTTCATCATTTTGGTCGCCCTCCGCTGGACTCTCTCCAACGCATCCACATCCCTTCTATAGTGAGGAGCCCAGAACTGGACACAATACTCCAGATGTGGCCTCACCAGAGCAGAATAAAGAGGAATAATCACTTCTCTGGATCTGCTGGCAATGCTCCTCCTAATGCGCTCTAACATGCCATTCACCTTCTTGGCTACAAGAGAACCCAGTTGGCTCCTATCCAGCTTCTCATCCCCTGTTACCCCCAGGTCCTTTTCTGCCAAACTGCTGCTTAGCCAGTCAGTCCCCAGCCTGTAACAATGCTTGGGGTCCTTCCAACCCAAGGGCAGGACTCTGCACTTGTCCTTGTTGAACCTCATCAGATTTCTTTTGGCCCAAACCTCCTGCTGATCTGCTTTCACATTTTATTTTAGTTGTTTTTTTCAAACGAGACTCTGGGTCTCAGCCCCCGACAGCCAGATTCTCAGCCTGGATCCGGGCCTTCCTCCAAGGGAAGCTGCCAAACTGACCACTAGATGCCACTGGTGTCCCTCTTTAAAAACACCTGGAGGAAGAAGCATCCCTGGCAGCCGTGAGTTTGGCTGGAGCTCTCTGCCAGGAACGCAGTTGCTGTGAAGCAAAGCCCCTGGCTATCAGCGGAGTGGGCTACGGGATGATTTGAGCCAAGGGCAGGAGGGGAACACACATTTCTACTGCAGCTCTTGTTTTTGGAACCCTAGCTTGCCTTCCCCTGCCTCTCCCCAGGCTCTAGGGAGCTGGTTCCTGGCTCACATTTGCAGCCCAGTGTTTAAGTTGTACAGAGGCTGAAGCCCGTCGTCTTTCCAGGGGAAATGGAGAGGCTGGAATCTCGTGCATCTCTCCTCAGACTGCCCAGGACTGTTACGGACAAGTGTCCTCTGGATTGTCTTAGAGCAGCCGGAGATCTGTCTGTACAGACTTTGAAAAGAGAATCCCTCCCCCAGGCAGGACCATGGCATGGGCTCTGGTTTGCAGCCTTAAACGATGTCTGGCAGCCTATTCTATTAAGAGAATTAGGGTCCCAGGGTTAGTTTTCTAGGAATGGCAAACCACCGCACTGGCTTAGGAGGGAAACTCCCCTCCCCCCATAATTCTAACTCTGACCTCTGCAGAAAGCCACTGGCAAACCAGGAAATCCTTTCCTGAACTTCTCACCCTGGGAGGACCAACAGTGATCTCATACTTTTGGCTACAGCGACAACTGCTCACGCGAGTAGCTTGTTACGCAGACAGGTGATGTTTCCATGCTGCCTGAGCTTGTTTCGTCTTTCTTTTTACTTTATTCCACTTTTTTTCCCCTTTCGATGGAGGGCGGGGGAGGGGGAGGAAGGAACAGGGTGGAAAATGTTTGTGAGATGTTTGTGAGGTCTTGAAGATCTAGGAGTATCTCTTGCAGATCCAATTAAGGTCAAAAAATTCAGGGCTAGCCAAACTCATTTTTAAAAGTGTTTTGCCTAACATGAGGTTAAAGGAGTTGCCCAGTCAGAGTAGAGCAGGAAACACAGGGTTTAATCTGCTTTGGAACCATTTTACAAGACTGGGTCTTGGAATTGTAATATCGCAGTAGTAAGATAGGACTTGGCTAGGTCCTCGCTTAGAATTGGCTAGCTCTTAGTGTTATGCGAGATTTGACTCCAGACTTCCCAACAAGTGTTCCTATAAGCTGAGCCACCAACGTGTTCCTAATCTTTTTGCCATCCATGTGTGGAATGAATTTTTCTATGTGCACTGAGGCACATATGAATGTGCCCCACCCATAGACACAAAACCTAGCTCTGCTAATCAGCTGGGAAGCATTTAAATCTTTCCTGAGTGGCCGCACAAGTGCACAGCTTACAGGGAACGCTGCCTCCCAAGAGGGTAGGAATACAGAGCCAGTTTTTTTAAGGGAGATCATCATCAACAGTTTCCATGTAGGCACCTAAACAAAATGCAGCGGGCTGCTTCACCTGGATGCCACCGAGGAGTTGAGAGCTTGTAAAAATCTAGCCCCAATTGTGGGTTGTGAGCACTTTTGAAAATGTGGTCTGTCGTGTATTAGGGGCAAGTGGTTTTGTGTTGCCCTGACACATTGTGTCCCATTTCTTTGTCTCTATATTTAGGCCCTGATCCTGCAATGAGTTCCACATGGACAGCTTCTCAAACTGACATGAAACCCCTTCAAAGTTAACGAGGTTCTGAGGATGATTGTTGGCTCAGGTAGGGCCTTAGCTTAGAAGCCGTGTGGACCTGTCTTATCACATGTAGGTAAATAGATAAATAATGGTAATAATCACAGCAGCCAAATGCTGCAGTCCCAAAGCCTAATGGAACCATTAAGTGTCTTTCAGTTGCTTTCACTGAACTGTATGCCCTTTCACACATAAAATTACCACTGAAGTCAACTGGAGTTTGCCTATGTAGAGACTGAATAAGGACTGTAGGATCTGTCTCTTGGCAGTGCAACAAGTGTCTTATCCAAAGCAGATTGCAGCAGGCAGGCAGTTTGATAAGGATGACTGATTTCATTGCTCAGAAAGGGTTCTCTTATGGAGGAGCAGAGCAACTTATTTTCTTGGAATGATGCACTAAACCAAACCACTCTGCTGTTAACCCTCTGAATCTTCAAGTGCATGGTCCAGGGGACATGGCCCTTACCTGGAATGGTAGGTCTGATGCCAGGGAGTGCCAAGCGTGCCCTGAGATATTTGCATCATGCTGGGATCGGGCTGGATCTCGATGAACTTGGTTGAATGCCAGGAATGGGGTCGGCCCACAAGTTCAGCCCGCCTAGGAAGAAAGAGAGCGAATCAAAATATTAGCAACACCCGTCGTTCAGCTCCATTCTCTGGGGTAAGATCTGTGTGAACGGACACTGGCAAATGAACGTCAATGAGCCTCTGTTTGCAGCAACTTTTCAGAAGGGATGGAAAGGGGTAACCAATGAGCAAGTTACCTGGTAAGCATCTGGTGTGCTTACCAGGGTAACTGGTTATCCAGCATCTGGCCCGGCTGGAGCAACCCCCCCCCACAGCACGGGGGTTGCTCCAGCCCAGCTGGGCCCACCGCATCACAACACAGCGGCCCTGGTTAACTGGTAAAACATTTTAAGCAGGTTTTTACATCCCTACTTTTTCAGTCAGTTAATTTGAAAGGACACCGAGTTATCCACCACGCCTGTCTTATGCACCCACGACAGCAAACAGTCACACCCGGGCGCACATACCCTCATGCCAATACACAACCGTCAACACACACGGGGACATGCCGACGGGCCATGGATACAGATGGACACAGTAAGCACCGACACACACACACATATTGAACGGTTGTTACCAAGCCCATCGGCTCCTAGTAGAGATGTCTCCTGATGTTTCTTACTTGCAGACATGGGCTCTGATCCAGCATCTGGCCACAGCACTCCAAGCACATGGATCAGCTTGTAGGACCAGGGCTTTATTTGGCAGCAGCTTACTGTGGGATGCTACTTGATAAAAATCCCAGCTTTTTCAAAAATGACTGTGTGTTAAAGCAATGGCGGGCAGAGCTCTCTAAAGAATTAATACCCCGAAAGGGAAAGCGTGGGCAATATTTCAGAGGGTCCTTCAGACTCTTCAGCGCCGATAACTGTCCAGAATGACACATGCCCAACAAGGTCCCATCTGGGACTGGCCCTTTACATCTTCCTTTAGCCAGCCAGCTCTTCCTTCCCAGAGTGTGTCCCAGGCTGCAAATGCTGCCCTGGCACGTCCCACTACACTCACTCTCACGCAATTTGGGGCAAACGACGCCATTTGAAAGCAGAGTGGTCAAGGAGAACATCCCAGCCTGGAAATCAGCTCAGTAGTTCAAGGGACCCGAATGGACAGAGAGTCCCAAAGCCTGAGTCTTTTCAGTCTGCTTCCTTTCCTTCTGTGTACAAATCCCCTTTCTTTATTGTCTGTTATTTTGCTAGAGCTGCCATTACTGCAGCAGTCACGCTCTGTGGGCAATACTCAGTCCCATGCTGACAGCCAGCACAAGACCTATCTACCACTCACATCCCACAGGAATCCCACCTTGCTAACAGGTGCATCACCTTACAGATAACTCAGCCTGTTCAAGGCGGAGCACCATTTCTCTGCGCCATGCCTCTCTTAAAAGTCTTTGTCGCATGGAGATGTTTACAGATTAGGTACGCATTCCAAATAAACCAAAACATAAATAGCACTAAGTAGACACAGAACAGCTATTTTGAAGATGGTGTCCAGTAGTGCTGCATGAAGCTGTGAAAAAGAAGGTCAAAAGATACTAGACAGTCTAAAAATGCTACGGTCCAGATACACAGCTGGCATAAATTGGTATTTACACCAGCTGACGATCAGGCCCTATGCTCCTCTTAAGGAGAAAGTGCTGAGAAAACGTAGGAAAAATTTCCCAAAGAAAAAAATTATTATTTCAATTTTAAGGGGACCTTTGATCTTGAGTGAAGGGAAGCGATCTGTCCCACCCCTTACACCAGGATCCCATTAATAAGAACTGAATTGAAAATTTAAAAAGGAGGAGCTGAACAAATCAGATTTTACACGTAGGTGTGTTTAAACAGAGCCCTATTGTTCCATCTCTTGCCAAGAAAACAAGGAAGCTGAATGCAGTCGGGTGGGAGGCTGACAGAACTGGATTTGCTAAGTAACTCATGCTGTCGCCTGCTCTTACTCCTGATGTGTCCCTTCATAACACGAAGAGACTTAGGGATTTAAAGGATTTCTTTGTAGTTTCGGTAGAAGTGAAACCTACATTTTCAGTTCTTGCTTACGGAAGCCCATTGTCTGACAGACAGAAATATGTTTTTCCGTGAATCCTTCAGTGGAGGGCTGAAAGAGGAGTTGCACTGCCCACCTCCTCTAAGCCATTAATACTTTAATAGCAATTCAACCCACAATCCTGCAATCACATCATGAGTAAACAAGGAAGCTGTGAATCTAACTCAAAAGACAAGCACTGCCAGCTTAAGCGTGGGGATAGCCTTGCATTGTGTCCACACCTAGGCGTGGCTGAAAATGTGGATTAAGTGTAATAGAATCGTAGCAGAGTTTAAACTAATAATGGTGGTGCATTGGTACACACCTGCTTGTGTTGTGCTAAATCAGGCACACAAGCTCTGCGGAAAATCTGAGACTGCAACATGCGTATCTGCAACATACAAGGTACCAGACTGGCAAGACTAAGGACTTGATCCAACACCTATTAAATTCCCTGTGACTTCACTAGGATTGGGCCCAAAAGTCTACAGCAAATTGTGCAGATGATGTCTTCTGTGTAGCAGTGTGTGTGTGTCGCACAACACCATAAGTTCCTGGCATGTGCCTTCTAGCCCAGGAGTGGGCAAGGAGCTTGCTTTTTTGGGTATTTGCACACCTCTAGTTTACTCCAACTAAGGCTGTCCTTAGCGGAAGGAGACTGTAGCATTGAAAAATTACTGGAAACTACTGGATCTGCAGCTATTTACCTCCAATTGTGTATTACAGGGAAGATGATTACATTGAACTCATCAAAGATAAGCAATGGTTTGCCAAAGGCAGGTTTGATTGCAGTCTTGGTGAAAACATTCCATACGTGTGCTTTACTCCAGGGCACAGGTACAAATATAAAATTACTGCAAGAGTAATCATTTTTTAAAATGGCCATAGAAATGGATTTTAAGATCCTGCAACATTGTAAGAACCTGACTCTTATCCTAGATAAACTGACAAAGCTGAACATCTCTCAGGCTATGTCTAGACTACTGACTGGATCGATAGGCAGCGATCGATCCAGCGGGGGTTGATTTGTTGAGGCTAGTATAGACACGATAAACTGACTGCTGGTCCTGCTCTGCTTTGTCTCTGGTACTGTACCTCAACAAGAGGCACAAAGGGAGTCAATGGGAGAGCGTCTCCCATCGACACAGTGCAACAAAGACACCACAGTCAGTAGATCTAAGTATGTCAACTTCAGCTACGTTATTTATGTAGCTGAAGTTGTGTGACTTAGATGGATCTCCCATGATAATGCAGACCAGACCAAAATATTGCAGTTCATTTCTGACTCAAGATAAACAATGAGCCAGATTCTCAGCTGGTGTAAATCACTGAAGCTCCATTGACAATGAAGCCAGGCCATTGTATGGAAATCAAGGATCCAGCCCAGAAAGTATTTCTAAAGGCAAAACTGCTGATCTGCATTACTCATCAGATGACTCTATATTTGTTTAAGATCTACCCCTGTCCCACTCCTATTTAAATGTTAGGATACTCCATCACAACACTGATAGCAAATCCTCAGCATCTGAAAGTTTAGGACCCTGGTGATTGTAAGCCGTACGCTGCCAGGGTTTGTGGATGGCAGGGTTTGACAGGATGCATGAAAGATATGTTTATAGTGAGATTTTGAAAGCCACCTAAAGGACTTGGATGAATTGGGCATTCAAGCCAATTAGGCATTTTTGCAAATCTATTAAACTCCGTACAGAAGCAAGATCTGCACTAGGAATGTTAAACATGTTTTTTTTGTCAACGTGTAACCACTTAATTTTTTAGCGTTTCCATGCAGTGGGGCAGGTGGGGAGTTCCTACCTGCTCCCCCACCTCCTGCGCTGCTGCCTCTTAAAAGCTGGCTCCCGCTGCCTCTGATACAGCGGCAGCAAGGGGTGTGTGCATGTAACCATTAAGATTAAGTGATGAGCCCAGGCTTATTGGTTAATCATGTAACTGAGTACACGCTAACATCCCTAGTCCACACTAGTGGATCTCAGTGCAGGACTGGGATCTAACAGGGCTTGTCTACAAAACATTTGGGAACAAGTTTCCTTGCCTGGGACAACAGCAGCCCCTAATCTCCAGGCTTCAATGCCTGGGCTTCAGTCTAAGCCGCAACATCAAAACACTGTCTACACCACTATTTTTAGAGAGCTTAGCACAAATCTTGCTGTGGGCAGGATGGCTCTCTCTAAAGAGCTGTGATGACCCCCCCCCACGGACTGTCAGGGGAGCAGTGACTCTGATTAGACACAAAAGGCTGTTGAATTCAGCAGGCAATCAAGGAAAATGCATTGGGGAATCGCTAATCTCTTCCTATTACTGTTATTTTAAGTGTTCCTAATTCTAGTAGTTTCGTTTTCAGACAGAAATGGGCATATCACGTTAGAGTTCTTTTACCACTTTCTGGCCAAGGTCTGAGGCAAACTTAATTTTAGCCACTGCAACCAGTGTCTCTTTAATGATGTTTTCATGCCTGCTCTGTGAATGGAATGAAATCTAAAGAAAATGCATTTTAAATCTGTCAACAGTTTAACTGAAACGCTGAACACCCTTTAGCTTGTGTTTCAACTTTAAAAACATAGCTCTGCCTACAAAACAATTCATCCTAATTAGCACACTCATTCAAATCTCTACACACACGTGTTCAGAAAATGCACACAAAAGCTCGTGTCAATATGTCCACGTTTATGAAAACGGGCACCCCGAGCTCTTTCAGTTTCTGGTCTCTTTATACTTTCCCAGTAACATTTTAGGATGCAGTTCACCGTTTATAAACCTGGACCAAAATGAAATGATAATCCCCTACAGTCAGGGCCGGTCCGAGCCATTCGTGCACCTTGGGCCCTGGGAGCGCAGCGCATGCGGGGCCCCATCCCCAGGTGCCCGGCGCACATGCGGCCTCACCCCCGGTTGGTCCAGCAGCCCTGCACAGCGCCTCCTACAATGGGGTGCCCCGGGCAGTAGCCCGGTCAGCTCATAGCTTGGGCCAGCTCTGCCTACAGTACCGGGATT